TCTTTTTTTGATCTATATTGTTCTGCATTGATGCAAATAGAATTTTCAATACAGAGCAATATGAACTAAATATATAGAGCAACATAAACATAATCCCTCAACAGAAATGTTAGATAGAAAATACAACAATTAGATCTTCAGAGGCCTCCCTAATCTATCCAGCCTTCCTGAGCCAGGATAACCCTTGTTTGCTTGCTTGGTATGCGCCATTGATGGCCTCTGGCCAGTCCCAGGAGACGACAGCCTCCTCGTTGGGCTCGGTTTCTCGTACCCCGGCCTCTGCCTGGGAGCGCTCATGGAGCGAACTTTTGCCATCGATGACTCGGTGTTCGCCATGTAATTCGGGTAGTCTGTGTACCCATTGAACAAGCTTCTCGAGCACTCGCTCTTCGCCGGCGTGAAAGGTCCCCTCCTCAAGCTCCCTGGCCGTGAAGTTGCGGAATAGAACTGAGGGCTTTCGCCCAAATCCAGAACTGGGAATCGAAGCATTGGGCTCATGGACTGCTGCCTGTTGACAGGTGAATGGCTAGGAATGGAGAATTGGGCGGTGGTCGAGTCTTTAGAGAGCGAGTCTTGAGTGGCGGATAAGTTTCGAACGATCGGATCGGAGTTCATGGTGGAATAGGATGGATGAAGATGACTGTGGGTGGCATGCCGCTTCGAGTTGGACTGAGGTTTCCCTGTGTCTACCTCCAATACCTTAGCGTTCTTCTCGTCATCCATGGCTTTGGAAGCTTCGATGCAGTCCCAGTATCGCTCTTCCATCCACTGATCAAGCCAATTCCAGTTAGCTGATTGATCTACTTCGCTTTGGACGGCGGCATCTATAACTCCTGCTTGCTTTGAAAAATTCTTCTACAGATCAAATGGGAAGAACTCAATCAAATTACTGAACTTTCTTCAATTTCTTTAAATGTTGGTTAAATCTATCAACAAATAAATGAGAAACAGATTTGAATGGTTACCCTGAGAGAGCCGGATGTATGTGGCGTGGGGGAATTTGGCCGGACGGCATGCTCAAACTTATCAGGAGTAGGAGGGCCCTGTAATGTAGAAAGTTAACAGCACAGTATGAATCTGGGAACAAGTAATGAATCGCGAAATAAGGAGATGGTGGCAAAGAATTCCAACTATGTCTTACAGGATTGGAGCGGGAACTTTTGCTGGATCTGCTTGGCTCTGGGCGAAGAGCTCGGCAAGCACGAGCTCGGGCCTGAACTCGAACCAGAGCTTGCATGCACCTCATGGTTTCAGCTGCCTGCTTTCTCACAATGTTGCCTCTAACCAGAGCCTGAAGCTTCACCAATCCTTTCAGCGCCTTCAGTGCTCTCCTCGCCTTCAAATAGAAGGATGAATAAAATTATACACAGATTGAACAAATTTTCTCTCCTGAACAGTAAGAAAAACTGTAGCTTTGAAGTTACTGTAGTACTCCTCAAAGGTAGAATTAAATGCGACGGGCATTTATAAAAAGTAATTATCGGCCCCATCTTTCTGCCACTAACAAAAGCCATGAAAGTTGCTTCTTGAGAAAGGAATAAGAGATTTATTAGGCAGCAATATACATACAATCTACCTAGAGCTAAAGTTTGCTTGAAAGGGAAATATAATTAAAAGCAACCAAAACGATAAGCTCGGACAAAAGTAAAACAAGCAGTAAAATTTCCACTAAAGATGGATTCAAAGTTGCCGAAATTGGCTCATATGCAGACAGACGAAGCTGCAAAATGGGAACTTTGAGGTGACCGGATCTGCTTCCTAGAAAAAAAGACACACAAACCATTGCACAGCAGCCGTTCGACGAAATGCCACAAGTGTACTTGAACAGATTTCAACATTTTACATCATCGAATCACTAGATCCAAAGCAAAGAAAAAGAACCCAGCTTTCATTATAAAATCTTACCAAATAACCACGGAAAGCCGCCTGGATCTTAACAGCAGCCCTTTCTTCGCGTTTCAACCCCACGGACCTGCTGCTGCTCGTGAGCCTTACCACAGCTGCGGCGGC